CTTTTCATTAAATTAATCGTCGGAGTGCCGCGTCAGATTCTCGCTTCGTGTACAGATAGATCGTAGCTTATGCAGATTACTTGCGTTAGTTACCACATTTCCTCTAAATTCTACTTACAGCCTGTATGGTCAGCACAGAGCACGCAGTGCTGCCCGGAAAACTGCGTGGATCTATAACCATTTCACCATATTTAAAAGCTGAAGAGCAATGAAAATAGTCGATCAAGGGGCAGCTGCACCTCCAGTAAAAAAATTCATAATTTCTGCAGAACAGTAAGATTCGAAACCCAGTGTTGTCTGTATTTTTAAATTTTTCTGTTATTTAAACAAAAATTATTTGAATTAAGTACTATTACATTTCTGGCTCATACAGTATAAAGTGCAAGGCCGATATGCCACAGCAAGAAATCCAGATAAGAATACATTGGAATGATTCTACTGGGTTTTGATCTCATTGTTAATGTTCTACATATATGTATGTACCTGGTTTTATCGGTGGATTTAAATTTGGTCACTGATTTATCAGAATAAAATTCTTGCAAGTTAAATAAATTGCACAAATACGTAGTATGATATCATAACTATATGATGCACATTCTGTATTTACACGAGAAAGGTACTGTAGTCATCAAAATAATAAAAATTGCAAGCGCAGTGACGTATCACTTATTGTGCACATGCGCAAACGATAATGAATTAAACGTAAAAATCGTTCATTTATGTATTTTCAATTTATGTGCGATTTGTTGCTTTAGATATATCCTTAGTCCTTACCCATGAGAGGGAAAATAATATCTGAGTTGTATGGGCAGCGAACCTCAGTTTGAACTACAGAGTACTGTTGAGGTTGTGCGCTGCCGCTGAAGATTTACCGTAAGTACTAGTAGTGCATGGCGATTCTGCGATCCCGACAGCGCCACCAGGTAGCGCTGCACTGCATTAACAGGCTGCAGAAGACGAAAAAAGCCGGCACCAAAGAAATATTTACATTTTCATTCCCATAAATATTAGTTAATTTTATGAAAGCAAAATGTGGAAAATTTGGATAGGTCGAAGCGAGAGCCATCCTGTAAGAAGCTACGCAGATCTATTCTTTTGATCGTATGCTATTCTTTGTGCTAGTTACATAAATCATTTCGAGGATTTAGATTTTTACTCGACTGTCACATATTATACGTACTTCTATGTTATCTGCGTCAGGATTTCGAAATAAATACAATAATAGGAATCCGGCGGTACTAATGTTGCTACAACTGCTTAATATGCGGAATTATGCTCCTGCTGAATTTTTCCGCAAGCGGTTGCCACTAGAAATTCAGCGGGGCAACGCCGCTTTGGTACTCGGAACAGTGGATGGAGCGGCAGCAATAAATGAGCGGCAGCAATAATGTTGTTGTGATTTAGTGTTTCTTTTGTAATGTACAGTCTGTATACGCGTTTTAAATAAAATGTCTTGTGCTGATAAAACAACAAGCGTTAATAAAAATCGGTAGAACCTACGAAGCCGGAAGTGCTCAAGCCTAACCCAATGTCAAACAAAATCGAGGATACAGTACTATAGCTGCCAGACCGACTTGCACCATTTTTAGACCAGGCGCTGTCTTCCCCCTGCCGGGCATCGCCCACGTTACGGAGAGTACCGAGCAGCCTGTGTAACTTTCCCGTACACGAAATCCTGTGGTGCACGATCGTCTAGCCACTACAATAAGTCCATTCCCGGCACGCTGATGACCTCAGCAGCAATTTATGACGAATGATGACTGTGCTTTGCCGTTTGGCAATGGTCGTCCATGAAATCCGCAGTTCCAGTTCATCCAACTGGTGTTTTTAGGAAGAAACTCTGAACCAGCAGGATGCCGGGCCGTGCTCGGCAAGCCGACGGCATCTTCCATAACCACCCAGAGCTGCCGCAATATCTCCGCAAAATCTGTTATGTAAGGAAGGAGGACGCTGTGCGGCTATCGACGCTGATCTATTGCAGAAATGCTGCAATGGCATAATTAAGCTGCACGTTATCACGCACCGCCATAAAGGAAACGAGACATGCACATTTTCAGTCTGTTATACGTAGCAAACCTTTTGAATGCTATCATGTTCTTCATTTTTAATTTTATTGTTATCAAGTTTTTGCTCAACGTCTGATTACGATAACGAATTTACGTATGTGTTGCTGATTGTGAAGCTTGTTGCTGCGTTTACAATACAGTATGTTCACTATGCAGTCAGTTGCACGTTACGCACTTTACAGATTAGGATTCCAATGGCAGTTCTTGTGCTAGGTATTTCTGATAATCGGTCTACTCATTTAACATCTCAGCGATGAAGCGATTCTTGGTTGTTATCTATTTGATTTCGATAGATTTAATTAGACAAGAGACCTCACCCCATCAGCGCGGAAACGCTCGCGTCGATTTCGATGCCGGCGAAGCGATGCTACAGCGAAGACGATGCCAAAGTGGCCTTCCTACAGTGTATTGTTTGACGGGTGGCATTCGGTTCGACCTCCTCTGAAGTTCGGGTATGTGGAATCACGGAAGAAAACGTAGTTCGTTAACGTACAGACTCCAGTAATCATTTATCGTTGTGAACATGGTTGCAAGTTGCAACAAACAACGGCGTACAATTATTCGGAGCACCTGCTCTCTTGGTCATCCACAAGAACGACGTCCAGCTACTTGATACGGCATCGAAGATGATGGATTTAATTGGGATAATCAGCGCTTACGTAGAACAATTTAATGGCAAACAATATGACCGTATGCTTGCAGAAATTTAAATAGAAAAGTTGTGGAAACGCCTGGATCGTTTGAAAAATCCCGGACTAAAGATTAAAAATGATTGAAATTAGGTTTTGATATTAAGAAAAAGATTTTCAACTGGATCAGCCGAAACGCCTTCTTCCACACGAGTCATAAGCATCGACAGTTTGGTGCGGCGGAACCAAACTGCTCTACGAGATTGCTTCGGTATGTATTATGTACAGGCGCACGCACGCGCGTGTTATTCGTTTTGATTTTTGGGATGCCTAGGTTAAATTATTTGCAGAAGAAGAATTCTCTTACAACAGGGATGTGACAGCGATGATTTACTGACCAGCTATATATCGGATTGACACTGCAATAAACGAACAAACAGCGCGGCTATTCCAAATTCCAATCGTCCGAAAGTGGGTTTAATCCGAGAAATAAAAGTACTACAAAGAGCTACAAACCATTTGCACAGATACTGAAAGTACGCTAAATCTCTGGGTTTAACCGTATCTTTTGGGTTTTCGGGAGCGAATGGAAGTTTGACCGAAGCAGTTGCACCATGCTTTTCCAATTGTCATCAGTACATGCTATAAAATTCTTTTTCTTTTGTTGATACCACATTTCCAGTATCGCATATTCCAGGCGTTTTACCTCCCGTTGACAGAACAAGCCAATGCCAAAATTCATCACTTCTGCGATCATCAGTGGTAAGCAGATCCTTTTATGGGCATTCAAATAACTTTGACCGTCCTGCAGCTCCGCCATAAATCCAGCACAAACGAAAACAGTAATGACAATCATATTGAGAATCGGCACAAATTTCGCCCTGCGGACTAGGGAGTACATACATCGACAAGTCTGCCACCAGTAAGCTGTTGCTCTGGTGAAAATTTGGATGTTAGGAGGTACAGCAGAACTTTGACGATAGTTACGCAAGTGGACAAATATCCGCATTATTTTGATCTGAGCGCATATAGGATATAAGAAATAGAGCGGCTCCATGCACATCATTGCGATTATCAAAGCGATATATACTTTCTTCTGGGACGTTTCCGGCTGTAAATAACAGTTTTTGTTCTGATTGCGTTCAGACATAACCAGAAAAAAAGTTCTCTGAAATTAATACGTGTTTGGCATTTAGGCGTGAATACAAGTGCCTGAATTCTTTCGTGCAGCTAAGGTAAATGATTGCATCTGTAATGCGTAAGTTTATCTTACCAGATCGTGGATGATGAAATCTTCGCTTAAAGCAGTGGTGGCGATTGCTATAAACAATCGCACCAGAGTAGTTATAAGCATAAATGTTGCGAGATACATTGCAACCATAACACAATTCCATGTATCATTTGTAACCACACATTTCGCCGTACACGGTCCAGGAATTACTCGCCCACTTTGCTGTTTATCGGATATGTTACCGCAGCGCACTTGTATACTGTGACTGGCCATGTTCAAAACAGGTATTTTTTCCAAGTAATGGAATGTAATACCTTCAGCGAAAATACAGAAGTAGATTATAGGTATTCGTAACACTTTGAAGAATGAAGGAGAAGAAGGCGCA